GGGGGGATATGATTTCCATGTACAAAATGTTTAATGGTGGTAGCAACATTAGCGATAAACTGTTTAAAATTAACTCCGTTACAAAAACTAGAGGCCATCACCTAAAATTGATGGAAAAAAAATTCCAGCACAAGGGGCGAAGGGGGTTCTTCACAGTAAGATCAGTTAGGGTCTGGAACTCACTGCCACAGGCGGTGATTTCAGCAAATAATGTGGAATTGTTCAAGAAACTTTTGGACGATTTCTTAAGGGACCGTAATATACAGGGGTACGGGTACTCCTAGAATGAGATCCTAATAGGTTGGACTTGATGGACTAATGTCTTTATTCAACCTCAAATACTATGTAACTATGTAACAATAGATGGAAAAAGTGCAACAGATTCCTCCATCTATGTTAAACTGTGTGTATGGAGGAATGTCCCACTGGGCCAAGCTTCAGTATCCTACTAGTCGGCCCTGCTGGCTCTCAAAACACCTGAACAATGCCTGCATTCAATCAGATTGTTTAGGTATTTTGAGAGCCAGTGGGGCCGACTAGCAAGATACTGAAGCTTGACCCAGCAGGAGATTCCTCTATACACACAGGTCCGTGGTCTGAAATTTCCTGATATACATCGCAATCCTTTTTTTGAATATTGGTACCACATTTGCCCTATGCCAATGGGTTGGTTCCATCAATTTAGTCTGGTATAGGTTTCTAATAAATTTCAGTTTATTTCTAAGATGCACCTACAGTATGTATATAAACAGTATGCTGACATATTAAATCTGTTATCCTGTTACACGGTTTACCATCTTGAAATGCCTTCAATTACCTTTTGGTACAGACTTTGTCATCTATTTCACGTTAAAGTGACACTAAACCCATGAGATAAATCTTACACAATACATTCAACTATTAAAAAAATGTATATTATTTGTGCAACATTCAGCGGTAGATGCTCAAATCATCTCTGAATTGGTGCTGACACTGTCCTTCCTTCTGGAGGGGGGCTACTTTCGTTCCCCATGGTCCCTGTGTGTGGTGAAAAGTAGCCACCACTCCAAGCCCCCTCCAAGCTCGGCCTCCTGTAACAAGCAAATTAGGATGGAGAAATGTCTGTGTTTATGAGCCCTTACAGTTCTGCGTATCTTCGATTTACACCATGTCTCAGAACAATTTATCATTTGCAAATATTTGTTATTTAGTAACATTTTTTTCTTTTAGATTGGCAGGGATTTTGGAATTCATGTTTTGTGTGCTAATTATCATTTTAGTGTATTTTACAAACTCTGAAAGCTGTAAGTGAAAAATAAAGAAAAAGGTAAAACAAAATTGGAAATATGGTCTGGCCAGCTGAGGTTAAAAATGGATTGTGGTGCTTGGCAGTTTATAATCTCTCACAGTAAATCCCTTGAAAATGCTTCCATCTGCCTTTCTCTGCAGAAGTATGGCTTTTTTTGTTCAGGTACTATCTAGAGTCAACATGCACTTCCGGGACTGAGATGCTAGCTCAGAGATGAACCAGTCATGTAAATCCTTGTATCTATGAATGCTGCTGCAGCCTCTCACCTTGTGACTTGCTACCAATTACAGTGGTGCAGTGGTATGCAATGGTGTAGTCTGATCACTGGGGGGAGAGGAGACTGAGGAATTCTTCCCCCTGCCTACAGAAGACTGAGGGCATAATTTTGGCATAGTCAATGTTACATGACTGAAGCTCAAGGATAGCTTTTTAATAATAAATGGTAAAGGATTTTGAAAATGTATTCTGTTTTATATATTGTGTCAGGTAATGATTTATGCAGACCAGTTACAATAATGAAAGGTTCACTCTAATTTCACACTTAAAATGTGCACAAAAAAAGTAAATACATAAAGTTATTTGAAAGTTGAAATCCCCACTGAACATTTCATTTAAGTCAGTTAAATACAATCCAGGTGTGTTCATAACTTATCATCCCTGCTGATTGGAGAGCTCTAGCTCTGACTCAGCAGGGGGCATGTCAGATCTCAGCAGAGAGACCACTGCTTCCACACAGAGAGGCAGGGTCCTTCTCTACAGCAGACTGGCTGGAGAAGGGTCTTTTTGCTTTGCTCCCCTTTTGTTTGAAGACATCTGGAACATATTTAGCTCATTTAAACTGAAGGTTCAGCTAAACTTTAAAGTGTTAAGTAATCCCAAAACCACAAAATTGATATACAGGCAGTCCCCGGGTTACAAACAAGATAGGGACTGTAGGTTTGTACTTAAGTTGAATTTGTATGTAAGTCGGAACAGGTACATTTTTTAAGTGTAACTCCAGCTCAAAATTTTTTTTTTTGTTTTGGATAGCGTAGGGAAGGGTCACGTTTGTTTTGCTGCCTGTTCCTGTTGTTCAGAAGATTATAATATAATAAAACATTTTTTTATTTAAAATGACACACCAAAAAAATGTTTTTTTCTATTTTGAATTTTATTTTATAAACTTTATTTTTTTAAAATTTATTTGCATTTTGAATTTTTATTTATTTAACCTTTTTCCCTTCTTTTTTTTACATTTTGTTGTCTTTTAAATTTTATTTTTTTAAACTTTAAAAAAAAAAATCTTTTTATTTATTTTAATGCTGGGAGCAATACCCAGCCTGCTATTGGATATTTCAAATTGCAATAGCAGGTTGGCTATTGCATCTGCCCACTGCCTGCTTTTAATCAGCAGAGGAGGGGCCTGAAGGAGAAAGTTCTCTATCAGGTCCTCCCATGTTAATTGACAGCAGGCAGTGGGTGGGTGCATTAGACAGCTTGCTATTGGCTATTGTATTTTAAGATATCCAATAGCAGGCTGGGTATGGCTCCCAGCCTGCAGATAAAGAGGAGGCAGGGGGGCGGGTCAGAGGAGCCGCGGCCGGACGGGGGAGCGGAGGATTGGCCGGAACGGGGAAGAGAAGCAGGCGGCCCGGGGGAAGAGGAGGCCGGGACAGCTGCGGAGGTACGGGGGCAGCGGCGCAATACAGCGGTATGTGTCCCCGCGGGTTTAATGGGACACAGGCCGCTGCAGCCACAGTTCTCCTAAATGTACCGACAGCTGCCGGTACATTTAGGAGAACTGTGGAACCGGTTCGTAAGTACGGATTGTCCGTAAGTTGGACGTCCGTAACCCAGGGACTGCCTGTATTGCAGATTACCAGTCCTTAGGTATGGTGGCTGTATTAGTCTTCATTTTGGGGGCTTTTTTTCCCCTTTATTTTCACTTGGTAATCCTGGGAACTTCCTGTCTCTGGGTGGCTATGCTCACTCCTCCAATGTATCTATGGTGGGAGTGAAGGTTATCACACAGGCTAGACTTCAAACATGTCCACCTTTTTCATCTTCATTACATGGCAGGGGGAGACTAGTCGTTTATTGAAGGAAGATAGCTTTGGTTTATCCTTCCATTTCAGCTCACAGAAAGAGACAAG